CCTGCCTCTGCCTCCCGAGTGCTGGGATTAAAGGCTTATGCCACCAACGCCCAGCTCACCTGCATACTCTTAAAAAGACAGTACTGAGCCAGTTCAGTTGGTAACGTGCTGTGCAAGCACAAGACCAACGGTAACTCAATCCCCAGCACTTGTGGGAAAAGCCAGATGTGATGATATATGCACTTATGTCCAGTGCTAGGGGGACAGATGGGGGGATCCTTGGGGCTTGCTGACCTGCTGGCCTAGCCTGATTAGCAAGCCTAAATCTCTATGAGAGACACTGTCTCAGAAACACAACTGCACACATTTGTACACACACCGTACATGCGCACAAAGTAAGAGTTGGGGGAAGGGTGACAAGAGTGTATGCTTCTGCCTGGTCCATAAGCTGTGTGTTCTTCCTTCCTAAGATATTTCAGACTGTTAACATCACAGTCATAGTCTTTCATGGAGGGGATACCAGATGTGCAAGATAGCCCACATTCTGACTACATTCTTCCCATACCTAGTCAGCTGCCTTGTCAGGTCTTACATAAAGAAAAATGAAGGCTGGGGATGTGAGACTGCCCAGTAGTTAAGAGCACATACTGCTCTTGCAGAAGGCTTCAGTTCAGTTCCTTTTGGACAGCTCATACCTCTGGCTGCAGGGCAGTCCAACACCTCTTTCCTCATGGACACCTCATATACATACACTCCCCCTCAGGCTTTCACAAGTACACATGATTTTAAAAGAATAAAAATCTTGAAGAACAAAAAAAAAAAAAAAAAAAAAAAAAAAAAAAAAAAAAGAAAGCATTGAACTAAAAGGAGCCAGTGATGGTTTTACTTTGCATTCTTTCTCCCTGGTCTGCCTTCCTATGTTTTTCCATTGTTGCTCAAAATTTATTTGTGCCCCCCCCAAAAAAAAGAACACCAGGTTCTTCACAGTGAGAATTGTCTAGCTGTCACCAAGATATAACCCATGCTTGCTTCAGACCACAGCAGAACAGCCAGAGTGCAGAGGCCACATTGTCTGTCTTTTTTGGTGATTGTTTTATCTTGCAGATATCTCTACAGGACCTTCTTGGTTAAATCAGGGACTACTTTTGAACTCTACCCAATCCGTTTCAAATACAGACCTGACCACTGGTGCCACCGTACCCCAATCAAGGTATGTATTTCTTTCACTTTGGGAAAAGCAAGCCACAGAGACCTGGCTCTGCTGTGGAGAGCCAGGGCTATGTTGCTGCTGCAACAGGTGGGTCAGGTTTGTAGCAAATATCCCCAGTGGTGTGGTACCTTCCTGTTTTTATTCCTGTCTGCAAAAAGAAATGTCTGCCCTGCATTAATGAACCTGTATGTTTTTAACTTACTTGCTAGTGTAAACCAAGGGTTGTGCTTGGATGCTGAAGTGGCCTTAGCGACTGGGCAGTTTCCTGCCCCAGACAGTCACCAGTCCAGTAGTGCGGCCTCTCACTGTTCTGAGTCCCGCGGCGAGACCCCTTGTTCATTCAACGATGAAGACGAGGAAGATGAGGAGGAAGATTCCTCCTCCCCAGAATAAAGACAGGAAAAAACTCATGTTTTAACCTTTGATGCTCATGTGTGTCTTTAGTGTGAGCTCTTGTGTTTTGAAATGATTGCTTCAGTCTTTGCCTTTGTTTGCATTTGTGTTTAGTGAAAACTAGAGAAACACAATAAGCAAATTACATGAAGGCTGAGATGATTGAAATGAAAGTTAATGTAGCGTGAATGAAAACTAAGCAACAGCAGTAGGTTACATCGTCAACAAAGCATGCTTTCTGCAGAGAGAGAGGGAATAATCCATGAAGAATGGCAGTGAATGAGGTTTGTTTTCAGGGAGGTGGGGTTTGAAGACCCCACAATGTATAAGCATTTAGACTTGCGATTGCTGTGAGTATGCAGTGATGATGGTTTTCTCCCTTGTCGGATTGCCTTTTATAGGCAAAAGTGAACTTGAAAGTCCCAGTGGGTGTACAGTGAGGGATGTAGATTGCAGGCTTGTGGCCTGAGGAGCACAGATGAACTGTTGAGCTAGCCGGAAGTCTAGCTGAGGTGCTTTGCGCATCTGCTGCCTTAGCTTCTAGAAGGGAGCAAGTGCTACCTTATAAGTACCTAGTTGACATTTAGAATAATTTACAGAACACTGAAGTGACCATTTGTCAATGCATTGGTGCATAGGAGTTTCTAGGGCTACTTCTGGGAGCCAAAATAGAATAGCATTTCCATGTGCATTAAAACTTCGCCAGCACTGCCTTTTGCCAGCATTCTAAATTTGGAGTTTTACTGAGAAGGAAACTGTATTTACAGTTTTAATCAAAGCTATGCGTTTCATACAGCTTTTGAATTTACAGTTGAACAAAGAAGCAAATTCTTTGACCAAATTGCTTGTCCATAGCTGTCTGCAGTACTGTATGATTTTACCCGTGTGCAATTTGTGAAAATGAACCAAATGTCATTACTTTTGTCTTTATTTCAAGAATATGAACATCATTGTTCTCTTATACATGTTATCTTTTTCATATTTTAATTATCAAAATGATCTTATCAGATTTATTCCTGGGTAAATTGCATTTCAAACTAACTCAATATTCAGTGTTTTTGTTAAAATCTTGAACCCTCCAGTTGACTGCATCTGTGCTATCGTGGCATGTCATTCGTGGATACAAAGCCAAAGTTGTTGCCATGAAACTACTGCAGTGTGTCTGTGATTTCTGCTTCTCTCAGTAGGGGAGCACGGGACATCCACTGCCAAGCCAAACCCAACTTAACTAACACATTAAGGCCTTGAAAGAGGGCAGGGAATGGAATCAATTCTGAAGCCAGTTGAAGTCGCATGTGTTTGTCCTGATCCTGTATATCTGGTGTCTGTGGATCCTGTACCAAGCTCAGTCCAAAATGCTGCTCTTTTTAGTCCTATGGGGGAAGCTTGAGCTGGAAGCAAAAGCTTTGGTTGACTTAAATGTTGTGAGGCCGTTAGCGTGAAAATACGAGTGTGCAGATACAGCTTAGGTTCCTTTGAGAGGAGACTCATTGTATCAGAAGGAAGCTGTAGTGCAAACCTGAGTGTGCAAGGGGCACAAAGGTTCTGGCAGGTTGTGTTGGCATGAGTTCTAAAACACACATCTTAGGCTGTCAGAGCAAAGTGGTCCATATGCAACAGGGGCTACCTCCCGTTAGTGCCTCATTTCTGTCTCTGTACTTAAGGGAGCCTAGCAGAGACCTGGAGAGATCAAGGGCAACAGTTGCTTTTTTAGTTTTCAAAATACTGGCCTACTGGTCCCAAGATGTTTCAGAACTTAAAGCAAATGCACACATTACACCCATTTCTTTTGCCAGGCAGCTAAATCCTTGCAAGAGTTCTCAAGGAACTTTCCCCCATTGTCTCATCCCTGCTGCTGTATGCTGGGCTTGAAAGGGGCAATCACACTGGACATGTTGTATGCCTCTAACCCCAGCATTTGGGAAATGGAGGCAGGAAGGTAGTCAACCTTGGCTACATACTGAGTTCAAGGACAGCCTGGGCTTCGTGAAATCCTTGTCTGAAGTGGGGCAACCAAAGACTCAATCTTTGTGTGCCTCGCCCTGGCCATCCTAGTTACCCCTGTGTCATCAGGTGCTGCTGGCTTAACACTGAACCAAGAGGATTACTTGTGATCCTAGACAGGCAAAGGAATCATCAGAGGTTTGAAACCAGCCACAGCTACAAAATGAGACCATAATGCAGTAAAGAAAGGAAAGCCTAAATTGAGATGTTGCAAAGGATAAACTCTGGTCTTCTTTATCGCCCTTAAACACCAAATCATAGTACAGGAATGGAAGGGGGAGGAGTTAAATTGTGGTCATAGCATCTGGCTTCTTTGTAGGTGGGGTACACAGGTTCCTTGCACACAGCTGTTACCCTCCCCCAGAGGTGCTGGGCACACTGCTTAATGTGTCAAGAGGCTTTTCTCTATTGAGGTTCAATTTCTCATGTGTATAACACTATTGTCAGTTCTCACTCTCCGTGTGAGGAACAGTTCCACCAGCTACACAGCTGTGCAGCAGTCGGTGCTTAGCAGGCTCCCTTTGCCTGTCCCCCACTGGAAGTCTGTTCAGTGTTTGCATTTATTGTGCCTTACATAGGAAGAAAGGGACTCAACAGAATCCTCCTCCCTCTGAAAGGTCCCCAGAAAACAGGCCAATGACCACATGCTCTGCATCTTTCTTGATTCTTTTTTTTTTTTTAAAGACTTTATTTATTATGTATACAGTCTTCTGCCTGCATGCCAGCAGAGGGCACCAGATCTCACTTAAGGTGGCTGTGAGTCACCATGTGGTTGCCAGGAACCGAACTCAGGACCTCTGGAAGAACAGCCAATGCTCCCATCCGCTGAGCCATCTCTCCAGCCCCTTTCTTGATTCTTTTAAAGTGGGAGGGAGGAAAATCTGCCATTTTGCCAGAATGAATGAGGAACTCCTCCTGTTAACAGAATATAATCAAAGCAGTAGCAGTACTCAATCGATAATTTTTGGAAGATAATTCCCAGTCTGTCCTCAGAAAGAATATCCCTATCAGACAATCAAGATGAAGAAGTGGCCCACTGAGTCCCTGCAGGCCTTCTCATTCTGCCATTTCTATCTAAACTGACTTCTTGCCAGAAGTGTGGGAGCTGTTCCAGGTATAGCATGATGTATGCCCCGAGACAGTCTGGACAGAGTGTGTCTGCCAGGCAGACGGAATAGGCAGATGACGGAGTGGCCTCAGCTGCTTGTGCTATAACCACACTCACTTCCCAACAAAATGGGCTGTCCTTATTCACTAAGTCTGCTGCATAAAGCTTTGAAATTTTCTTCCTTAGTGGTAAGCATGGGGGTGGGTATTAAAATACCAAACTTAGCTGCCTTTACCTGTGTACAAGCCAAGTGGGGACTGTAGCAAGCCACGGAGTTCTTGGCCTCATTGTCTTGAATTACACCGCAGGCCAGTGACCTGAGATGGAGAGTTCACACATGTTCTCTAAGTTGCTAATACACAGGTGTACCTTGTGATGAACACGTGGAAGGTGACCCTCATGCTGCATATCGGCTAGCTTGGGTGAAATACGGTCCATAAACCTAAGAACAAGCCTCCCAGTGGGGCTGCCTATTTTTCTCCACCTTGAACAATCACTGCCTCTAAGCACTGATGCTTATTAATATATAGTTTTGCAAGACTACTGTGCATGCCAGGAGCCTACAGCAATCACCTGAATGATCCACAGAATGTGCCTTCCAGCTCACTGATTCGGTTCACCTATACTATGTTCTGTTAACCTATACTTGAGTCAAACACTATCACTCAAAGGGGGGAGCTAAAATGATGAATCTTCCTTTATAGCAAGCCTCAGGAAGTAGCCTCTTACATATTAACAAAATATCTGGTGTTACAGTTAATTTGTAGGATCCAGTTTCCCTGCATACATGTGTGCTCACAATATGCTAAGAGGGGAAGTTAGGGCAGAAAGCTTTGGCATGTCATGTTTCCAGGGAGTCCTTGACAGGTGTAAGCACTGACCAGATAGATGGCCACCCCTCAGTGTCAGGTGGAAAGATGCTCGTCTGTACATACTATCAGTTCTGTATAGTTCTTTCAGATAAGGAAGATTTTGAGTTATTTTTATATATTAAAAAAAAAAAAAAAACTTTAGGACCAGTGCCTTGGCCCCTGTCATCCTAGCAGAGTGGATCTTGGTCCTCCTTGCTTAAAAAGCTACTTTAGAAACCGTTGTAGTCGCAGTGGAGAGTCAGGGTTTGTGTCTTCTGTGCTAGTGTCTCAGGAAGGGAGAGAACTCCTCTTGGGACCCACTCACTCAGAGATGGAAGTATGCAGAGCTTGGGGCCCAGCTTCCCTTAGCCTCTGTAGCAGTCTGCTCCTGTTTGTCACGTCCCTCAGGCCTCCATTGCCTACTGTAAAGCACACCTTCACACGGGCCATCCAGACAGCACCAGTCCTGACAAGTGCCAAAAACCTTGAGGAGGAACTCAAGGGGTCTTTTTTTTCCCAAACTCTATCATGACTGTCATCTTTGGGCCTCTCAGGACTCCAGGTGCAGATGGTCACAGTCACAAGAGACCCTCCCCAGGCCAAGGCCATCTATTCTGGACATCCATAGGGACTTGAGAGGTGGAGTTGCCATCTGGGCCATAGTGACTTATTTCCAACCAAATTATTTGGACTTCAGAAGCTATTAATTTGCCATGCTTGACTTCAAACTCGTTACTCCTAGGTGTGCTAGTTTTGCATATTCGGACTTCTCTAGTTTGTTTTGTTTTCTTATACTTAGTTACCTCCAATGCTCTAGCCACCTCTATGAAAGCGGCTTCTCTGCAGGTTATGTTATTTTTCCCACTAGTAGTAAGACGACACTCTGAGAAATGGGACCAGTCCTCCACCTGGTTGTTCAGGAGGCCTGAGTTCTGGGGACCCCATCAGTACTGTGAAGTGCCTGGGTTGTCCCATTTGCCCTGCCACACTTTACCTGGACAGAAGGAATGAGGTCGTTGGCCTAGACCACTGAGTGGCTCCCTTTCCATTTGGAGACTGCGCATGTGCTGCTGGCTACTGTCTCCAGAAATGCTCTTTTTCTGCATGAAGCACACGCTGGTGTCATGCCCTAAATAATTTAAACAAGGTAAGAGGGAAATGCAAACCACATCTCGCCTGCCTCTTAGAGTTTTGTTCCTAGGTTGAATACACAGGCTAATATATTATTTTGTAGTATCTCAGACTTTGCATAAATACTATTATTTTTGTATGGAATTTTTTATAGAAGAGCTATTTCTGTATACTTACTTCTGTGTTTCTGAAATGCCTTCCAGTAGGTAACCGGCAGGTATTAAATAGTGTCCCACTTCGGGTGGCTCAGGGACCGCCTACCCAGAAGAGACGGGGAATTTAAATTTTTTCACTCCCTGCACCCACTCCAGATAGAAGCTCAGGGTGTACCTAGGAAGTATTAGCTCTGAGTGATTTTTCTCATCAATTCACACATCTTTGTTCATACTGTAAGAGTGAAAGAAGATAACATCTGAAATGAGTATGTTGAGCTTGAGAAAAATTGTATCGTACTATTCTGTGATTTGAGATACAGAAAAATAAACAAGTAATTTAAAATAATGTTGGTGTCATCATTAATGGCTCCTGGGGGGATGAATCCTGGCCTCACACTGTTAGGACTAAAACCCTCATTCAGCCAATGAAGCACAAGGCCCACTCTCCTTTGCCTCCGTTCTGGGTCTCTGAAGGGCTCCAGCACCAATTTTCTTGATGGAACTGGCTGAGGCCTCTGGCAACGACATCATTAGGGCCATTTAGCTTCCATTCTCAGCTTTGGTGAAACTCCCAGGGGCTCCCCAGGATACCCACAGTGCATAGCACTGATACCTCCTAGGAAGAGTTCTGTCAAGGTTAGAAAAACAGCAGCAAACAGTGGTGTGGCCAAGCCTCAAGCACAGTCCTCCAGCCCCAGGGACCTCCTCCGCATCTCTTCTAAGCAGTACACACCTCTCAGGAGGCGATGGCCAGGCAATTTGTGTCCTAACAAGTTTCACACAGGGACAGAAGGTGGGGCAATTAAAGGATCACAGCATGTCAGCAGGTATTAAACTAAGGTGCTGGAGAGATACTAGGTTAAAGAGCACAGGCTGGGTTGGGCAGTGGTGCACATGTTTAATCCAGTGCTTGGGAGGCAGAGGCAGGCAGATCTCTGAGTTCAAGGCCAGCCTGATCTACAGAGTGAGTTCCAGGACAGCTAGAGCTACACAGAGAAACCCTGTCTCAAAAAACCAAGAAAAATCACTGGCTGCTCTTCCAAAGGACCTAGGCCTGATTCTCAGCACCCACAGCTCACTCCAGTCCTACAGGTTCTGACATTCTTCTGATCTTTGGGAGTAGAAGGCATTCATGTGGTATAGACACACATGCAGGCAAAACACTCATACACATTTCACAATAAAAAATTTAAAAGGGCCGGGTGTTGGTGGCGCACGGCTTTAATCCCAGCACTCGGGAGGCAGAGGCAGGTGGATCTCTGTGAGTTCGAGGCCAGCCTGGTCTCTAGAGCGAGTGCCAGGACAGGCTCCAAAGCTACACAGAGAAACCCTGTCTCGAAAAAACCAAAAAAAAAAAAAAAAAAAAAAAAAAAAAAAAAAAAAAGGACAGAAAGTATGGTCACATAATCAAAGAAGTGACAATTTGTGTTCAGCTCTTAATGCATTGATTAGACTAAGTGAGGGAGGAACACCCAACACCCATGCTCATCCTCTTTCTGTGGACTCCCTGCAGGGCTAGCCCAGTGTCTGCTCCATCTGCTAGCAGCCATTTAGTGCCACTTGGTTAATGTATCCAAGGGCTTGTAGCCATGACCACTGAGTCACACTAGGAGGGCACTGGTGGCCATCAGTTGCCATTGGACATGATGTTGACAGGCAAGATGTCTGACTGCAGTGCCCTGCTTTTGGCCCAAACCCTGCCTGCCGGAGCTGTGTTTTTCTGCTGCTGGTCCCTGGGCCGTTTTGTCCCTGTGTCTGCTAGAAAGCTGCTAGAAAGCATGTTCCCCCTGCTTCCTTCCATTTAAGTGCCTCTCCCCAAGCCTGCAGGACACCACCTGGCCCTCACCCAGCAATAGAAGATTGCCTAATGCGGTCCAAGTACTGTCACCAGCTTAGCCACTGTTCGGAAGGTCCTCTCCAGCCTCTTGCTTAAGCCTGCTTCCAGGAAACACTGGAGCCGTGATTCTCGGCCTTCCTAATGCTGCAACCCCTTAATACAGTCAGTTCCTAGGTTGTAGTGACCCCCAACCATAAAATTATTTTTGTTGCTACTTCATAACTGTAGTTTTGCTAGTTATAAATTGCAATGTAATATCTGATATGCAGACAGTCTTAGGCAACCCCTATAAAGGGTCGAGATCCATGGGTTGAGAACCATTGCACTGGAGTATAAAATGCACTGTGAAGGAAGCCTTGTAGTCAGGGTTATGGGAACCATGCCCATTCAGTTTGTCTTGTAGAAAGACTGACGGCATATGAAAAGATGCACGTCATGAGATCATATTGCCCAGAAGGTGGTCAGCATCCACCCACCCTCCTTCAGCCCAAATAGGCAGGCAAGGAGCAGCTCCCCGGCGGCTTTTCATTATGGCTCATTTCCTTAGAGTTGTTCACTAGGACTTAGGCAGTGGAGCCCACAAGGCGGGCAGCTGAAAAGTTCCATACTCTGGCGCCATCCTACCCAAGTTGTAAATGGAGACACTTAGAAGCGGGTCTCTCTTCAGAGAGTTATGCCACGGGACTGCACAAGCTCCAGGGCTTCTGAGCATTTGTATAAATCCTTTCTGGATGCCAGGTGGTGGTGGCGAACGCCTTTAATCCCAGCACTTGGGAGGCAGAGGCAGGCAGATCTCTGTGACCAGCCTGGTCTACAAGAGCTAGTTCCAGGACAGCCCCCCAAGCCACAGAGAAACCCTGTCTTGAAATCCCTGCCCCCCAAAAAAATCCTCACTAGCAAGAGAAAAGCTGTTGTCTCCCTGCCGGACTGGTGCCAAGGAACTTGTCTATGCATTGATTGTGCCCAAAAAATATGCTTGCCTAGACAGAGGGTTCCCCTATTTCCTTTTTACCCTGAATCCTTCCTGAAAGGTTTCTCAGAGGCGGGAGGGCAAAAGCATAAAGGAATCAGGGCTGGGCTTTGGCCAAGGGGGCAGGTGGCTGCTGGGACAGCTGTAGCCACTCCTAGTCATCGAGGCAAAAGAGACAAGGAGCAGATGGGGAAAGCCTCAGGGGTAAGTGCTGTGGACAGAATGAAGGGTTGTGATGTGGCAGACTATTGGCCATGTAGGCTTTGTGGGCAGTGGCTCACCAGTTGGCAGCCAGCTATGCTGTGCTTCAGGTCCTGAGGGAAGCTGGGGCTTCAGTCAAGAGGAAGACTCCAGCATTGACAGCTCTTAAAGGGAGCAGCCTCCTCTCTGTCTCATTTACAAGACTCAACAGATACCTGCTGGTGCTGTGAGTTGCAGCCTGTGAAAGCACTGTTACCTAAACTGGTGGATTAGTCAAAGAGCCCATTAATCTAGCGGAAGACCTGAGTTTAGCTACCATTCAGCATCTCTTTAAATCTGCTGTTTAGGTGTAATCCGAGCCCCATCCATAACCCTGTTTTTCAACTAGACATGGTGGTGCCCGCACACCTGCAGCTCTTGAAGTGTAGAGGCTGAGGGAGGGTGCAACACGAGGACTTCAAGTTTAAGGCCACCCTCAGACAAGTTCCAGGCCATGCTGGGCAAAAAAAGTGAGTCCCTGCTCCACCCCTGCCCAGTTCTTTTTTTTTTTTTTTTCTAGTTTGTCACATTCTATGACAATGCAAGATACTCGTTAACTTTCTTGGCAACCTGTGTGTCTGTGTCCCTCTGCGTGTGTAGGTTAAGAGGAATGCAGTGGAGAGAACCAGGTCCTCACCTCACATATGCTAGGCAAGTAACCTGCCAGTGAGAATCCAGGTTCTCTCTCTCTCTTCTCTCCTCTCCTCCTCTCCTCTCTTTCTCTCTCTCTCTCTCTCTCTCTCTCTCTCTCTCTCTCTCTCTCTGTGTGTGTGTGTGTGCACGTGCATGCATGCAAGAAAGAGGAGAGAGAGACAGACAGAGAGAGAGAGAGAGAGAGAGAGAGATGAATAATAAAAACCCAGAGACAGATATTGGGGTTAAAGCTGAAGATCAGATAAAGCAGCCAGCCACTAGAGAGTTCTCCCCTCTGCCAATGCTCAGACAAAAGGGGCAGTCCTGTCCTTAGACTGCACTGCTCTCCACCAAACCTCAGACTGCATCCGACTGCACTGCTCCTCAGACTCCCCTGAGCTCTGTCTATTCCCACCTCGTATTCCTCTCTAATGCTGGGATTAAAGCTGTGGGATCCCAAGTGCTGAGGTCACCTTTGTGTGAGCTCTGTTTCTCTTTTAAAGACTGGATCAGTTTCGTGTAGCTCAGTGTGGGCTTGAACTCACAGAGATCTGTCTCCCTCTGTCTCCTGAGTGCTGGGATTAAAAGTGTGTGCCACCACTGCCTGGCCTCTGTGACTGTGACTAGCTTTGATCTTCAGGCAAGCTTTGTTAGATCATAAACAAAATATCATATAGGTGAGTGGTGTCTACATACGTGTGCAGGTATGCCTGTGCATGTGAAGGCCAAAGGTTGATGACGTCAGTGTCATCTCCTATTGCTGGTCACTTTTATTTTAAGATTCTGTTTTATTTACCAGGGTATATGTGTATGTGCAGGTGTGCTGATGGAGGCCACAGAGGGCATGTAACTCCTTGAGGCTGTAGTCAGCAGGTGGTTGTGAGTGGTGCTCCTGATGGGGGTGCTGTTCCTACCTCTGGGATTCTCCAAGAGCAGCAAATGCTTTAAACAGCTGAGCTTTCTCTCCTGTGTGTGCGTGCGTGCGTGCGTGTGCGTGTGCGTGTGTGTGTGTGTGCACGCGTGCGCACCAGTACATTAGTGGAGGTCAGAGGGCAATTTCCTGGAGTCAGTTTTCTCTTTCTACCTTCACATGGAACTGGGCTTAAACTCAGGTCCTCGGGCTGGAAGTGGTAGGTGTCTTTACCTGTGGAGCCGGCTCACCAACTCTCAACCTTCATTTTTGAGTCTAGGTGGTTAGCAAGCAGTAGGGATGCCCCTGTCCCTCTCTACCTTCTCTTGTCCCACCCCTGGGGTAACAGGCAGAGGCCATACTGGTCCAGCCTTTTTTTTTTCCCCTTTAAAAAATATATTCATGGCTGGGTGGTGGTGGAGCACACCTTTAATCCCAGCATTCAGGAGGCAGAGGCAGGCAGATCTCTGTGAGTTCAAGACCAGTCAGATCTAGTTCCAGGACAGGCTCCAAAGCTACACAGAGAAACCCTGTCTCAAAAAACTACATAATATGTTTATATAATATATAACGTATATATTCTATAATATATATTAATGTGTTTTGCTTACTTGTATGCATGTGTACTAACTGAATGCATGGAAGTGGGGAAGGGGGTGTGGGATCCCCTGGAACTGTAGTTATGGGAGGTTGTGTGCCACCATGAAGATGTTGGGAATCAAATTTGGGTCCCCCGAAAGAGCAACAAGTATCTTA